AAAAGAATAAAAGTGGACGGGTACCAAACTGGTTGCCGGAAGGATGTTGCAGCTGAATGATTACTTAGTATTAGACTTATTGCCAACCTATCGAAATCGTTCCGGGGTGCCTTAACTTTCAGACGCTCATTCAGACAACCAAGAACGCCAATGACATCGATTAGCAACCTCACCTTGCAACGTCTACAACCAGATAATAATAATTATTATCTGGTTGTCACGAAGGGACTGGACCTTACCGTGGTGTGATGGTTTGCACACCTCAGCGACCCATTGAGCTATACTAGTGAGTGTCCTGCGACACAGAGTATCTCATACCAGGTTAGTCAATGGTTAGAGGTCTGACGAACACAGTTTCCTGGCCCTCCAGGTTGGGGGATGGAACTTGGGTTGTCGGCTTGTTCCGTAGAAATGGTAATGCATTTGCATTTCCCGCCAAGCACCGCTGCCTTGCGGTTAGACTCTTTAGCCAGAGGCTTTGAGTGAGGACCCTAATCGTCCTCCTGTCTAGGTGTGGGCGCCCTGGCAGTATCCCAGCCTTCGTACAACCATGACACTCAACTAACAATACTCTCATGCCACATCGGCCGTCGCGTGGTGCCATCAGCCGGGTCGCCTTACTTGCTGCATACAGCAGGGTGGATAAGCGAAAACAGGCTATTGCTGACGCCTCCCTTCTTTCTCTTTCACATACTTTTCCTTCCCCCTCTCCCCACCCCATTAATAACTCTCTCCTTGTAGGTCCAGCACTTAGGACTGATGACTCCATTCGTCATGCATCGGTTTTTGCGTGCAGCATCTACTCTTCACATGGCGCCAACATCTTCAGGAATCTCCAAATCAGTCCTCAAGCCTCGACACCCACTCTATCTGACCGCGTTCAATGCTCGCACTCTGAAGCAAACAGGACATCAAGCTGCTCTTGCACTCACACGACTCGCTTGGCATCGATGTGTACTGTGTCTCAGAAACGAGAATTCAAGATGCAAGCACAATGATCGAGTTAACCGCCCCGTCAGTCTCCACTCGCTTCCGGTTGCGCACGTCTGGTGATCCAGAGGTTGCTGCGGTGGGATGTGCAGGGGTTGGTATTGTGCTAAGTCACCGGGCGGAAATATCCTTACTTGACTGGATACCTGTTGATAGTCGCCTCTGTGCGGTTCGTCTGGCAACGTCTGTGAGGGAGTCTCACAAGCGACAAGTTGATAGATGTTTGTTTATCGTGTCTGCCTGCGCCCAAATCACTGTAGCTCCGACGCCGTAAAAGACAGGTTTTACGACGCCCTAAATACCCTGCTGCGGTGAGCTAAAAGCTCAGACATTGGTGGTTGTCGGAGATATGAATGAGCAAGTGGGCAGGCTTAGTGCATCTGATACTCAATTAGGAGGTCGACATGGATTGGACTCGGTACGTACGGACAATGGGGAACGATTGCTTCAGCTGTATGCTGATCGCAGGCTGTTTTTATGCAGTGCGAACTTCCGAAATAGCCGAAGTCGTCTGACCACTTGGTGTCCTCCAACGACAGACCGGCCACAAACTCAAATCGACCACATTGCCATCAGTTACCGATGGCGCGGATCAATAACTGACTGCCGGTCGTTTTGGAATACATTTGTGGACTATGACCACGCGCTCGTCCGGAGTCGCTTCTCCCTACGTTTTCCGGGGCCGCGTAAGGTGCGGACGAATCGCCTGGCAAGTGAAATATTGGCAGATCCGGATGTCAGACGGACTTACAAGAATCATCTTCTAGAGTCTTCCAAATGCTCCACCGTCAGATTGAACTCATACTGGGACGAGATTGCCACCTATTTGCGCAGTGCTGGGAATCTTGCCTGTACCACGACCCAAGCACTTGATATCAGACCGAACGGTGGCACTACTTAAATCTCGAAGAAATATCCCAGCCGTGACGAACATAAACCGGTGTGAAGAGTTATCAGACGTCAAGTGAAAGTGAGCTTGTGATCCGACCGTGAAGTATAGTGGACACAGAAAGCCAAAGAAATGGAAGAGGCCCAGAAAGCCGGAGATTATTTCAGTTGATTCGTGCGACCGGTCCCCGGAAACCACCTGCGAGTAAACCATCAAGCATCAGAATGGAACGACCATCTCGAATAAGGAACAACGCCTTGAATACTTCGAACAACAACTATCGTGGCCACCAGCAGTTACTCATCTAGAGCCCATGGGTGAAGTAGAACCCTGGACGGTGAACGTGGAACCACCTACGGCCTCGGAGGTTTACGGCTGCTTACGTTCTCTCATGCGCCACCGAGCTATTGGTCCGGATGACCTTCCACCCGCACTGTTCAGAGACGGGAGTGAAGTCCTCAGTCAGCACTTGTCTGATCTGTTTGCTTGCATTTGGGAAAAGGAGTCTGTCTCAGACAACTGGGTTGAATCGGTGATAGTGCCCGTTTTCAAAAAAGGGGCGCGTAGTGAGTGTGGTAACCACAGGGGGGTCAGCTTGGCCCCGGTCGTACCGAGACTGTTGGCATCAATTGTGCTTCGTCGCCTTACGTTGGCTCGCGAGATACTGACTCGAGGGCAGCAAGCGGGATTCCGGCTTGGTAGCGGTTGCATTGACCAAATCTTTACCCTGCGTCAGGTGCTAGAACAACGCCATACGTATAAGCGACCCACAATTCTAGTATTCCTGGATTTCCGGGGCGCATTCGGTTGTGCAACGGGTACTTCCATTGAAGAATTTGTCCAGCACCAGAAGCTGTGCTGGTTGGGACGTGTGTTGAGTATGCCGAACCATCGTTTGCCGAAGAGAGTGCTGTTTTCCATGCCCGATTCAGAGTGGCGTAAACAGAGAGGTGGCCAACCCTTGACTTGGCAGAGGAGTATGAAGGAGATCACGAAACGCTTGAGTGCTGTCGGTGCTACTCGCCTTCCGAGATGGGGACCGCGTGGTCCTCACTGTGCTTGGTCGGAGACACTACAAGATATGGCTGCCAACCTATGTCAGTGGCGTTCTTGTTGTCAGTTTCTATCCAGATCGCCTGAGTGAATGTCTGGAGGTGTAGGCACCTCGGAATGATTGGTAAGCTAGCACGAAGTCCCACCCCCGTCCACCTTTACTGTTTCAAATAAATCATGGTTGTACGGCAGTGAAGCATCGGTGTTGAACACTGATGTCATGCTGTCGATGATTATGATTATGATTATTATGATGATGATGATGAGATAATAATAATAATAATAATAATAACAATCGTTCAGCTGTAACACCCCTTCAGTGCCTAGCTGCCGTATCACCAAAAGAAAGCAATAGGGCTGGGATAATGCCAGGTTGCTATAGCCCAGAGAGGAGAAGTCGAGAGGCAGAGGTCGGGTTCGAACCACGGACCTTCCGGCCAGTAAATTCACGCTTTGACCACAGTCATCTCACCCCAGACAGTAGGGGTCAAGTAGTTCCCATCCTGGAAGGCGAATCACACCGACAGCATCCCGACGTTTTGTGTTCTTTCATACCTCTGTCCCAGACAGTGTCAAGTAGTTCCCATCCTGGAAGGCGAATCACACCGACAGCATCCCGACGTTTTGTGTTCTTTCATACCTCTGTCAGGTCAGAGGTGAGCCACCTCCCTGATGTTGCTACTCTGAATTGGGCGCGAGAAGTAGCTTCTGCCTCGACAAAGGATTTGGTGTGCGCAGTAGATGGCCTAACCACCTCAGCTTTTGGCGTTGGTCACATTCTTTGATGAAAGTCCCTGTTGCACAACCGAACAATCGTTATCTAATTGTTTTGTTTCGGATTCGTCTACGCGAACTATGGTTCTGAGACATCGGTTTTCGGAAACCTGAAGACATCTCAATTCTGCTGGGACACGAAGATCTCTTACAACTTTTCAATACCTCTGCTATTCACTAACCATTTCTTAATAGTTTTTAGGCTCAGACTTCATTGATTTCACTACACTCTTGATGAACAACAATCTGGGTGGTTGAGATAAACTGAGTACGAAAACCGAAACGATTCTGCAATGAACGAGGCTATAGCATTACCCTTTTTAAATCAAACAGTATTTCCTTCTGATGGATGAAGGCCGAGTGGGGAATGGTGAATAACGATGTGCAAAGAGTGGTCTATGTCATTATGCTAATCAATATACTGCCCTCTGACTTGTCGGTAAATGAGCTGAATGTGGTATTTCAACACCACCGATCCTCATTACACCCAATCCGTTTGGTAGACTAAGGACTGTTTTGAGACATGTGCGACTTTACGTAGGTAGCTTACCTGACTGAAAAGGTCCACAGCTTGCTTAAGACGTTGGAACCTTTCAATAAACGCGCACCTCCAACGGCTTCTCAACTTATTACGGCTGTATTTTTATGAAGAAGCTTGGCAGCTGATGGGAAAAATATCTGATTATTACATAGATCTTCTAGAGGTCGAACGCCAATCTACCTCTCAACCAACAATAGGTTTCGTGTATTGTCAGAGAATTATTTCATTACTCCAGAGTAAGTTCTCCGGTAAAAAATCAAATTTTTTCTTATTTTAGGAAGTTCATGTGAAGTTAGGTATCGGATTCGCTGGACAATGTAGATTCCAGCTTCGATGATTACGTGGTTTACGTCGGTTAGAATACTTCTGGTGAACCGGGTGACATTTGTATCAGCATATACCTGCCTCATAGTAGTTGCTACACTCAGTTATCCGACAACCATGTGCTACCGTACGTACTCGGTTGCCCTCAACTCATTGGCCATTTTGTCATTTACCTGCTCTAATGAGCTCAAGCAGTCCTCCCCCTATATTCGTATTGGCGACACAGTCCATAGTACAAACATGCATTATTTCTAATCGCTAAATGGAGCTGATATAAACTGAATTAATTCATCCCAATCTCACTCATCATTGAATGAAGTCGTAATGAATGGATGCGGTGTGGAGCCTAACAATGGGCACGTGCTGGTGCATCAACTATTCAGCCTCACATAATTTAATTTATGTTTCCCATGTTATTGCACATTTTAGCTTAATGGAATTTGATAGCATCTGTTGCGTCTACTGCCTCCATGACCTTAGCGGCGCATATGTTGAGTGCACAGACTGTTCCGGTGTCATCTTGTGCTTGGAAGTAAGCTGCCCAGTGGGGCTAATCTGTTGATGTTCATCTCTTTTAGTGCTTTTGCAGTGGTGCAGAGGCAGGAAGTCACAAGAAAACTCATGGCTACCGTTTCAAGGTTAGTTGTGGGATACTTTTCGGTCAGTTCCCAGTCGGCTTCTAAGAACGCTTCAGTCTCAATATTTGGAGGCTGGGCTGCAAATGAAGAACAGCAACTTTTGGAAGCTCTTGAACACTATGGTGTTGGTAACTGGTATGTTTACTACTCACCAAGTTCCAGTTTATCATCTTCTCTTTTTAGGGAAGATGTATCACTTAAAGTGGAGACGAGAAGCCCATTGGAATGTATGGAACACTATGGAGCTTATTATCTGGATACTATGCTTGGATCTAATACACTGTGTCAGAGCGCGCCGACTCCACGGGTGACCGATCACACGGCCGATTCCAGCCAGTCCACTCCCACTATGCAAGCTTCACCTGCTGTTTACATGGAGGTAGAAGATCAACAGCTCCTTGGCTATATGCCTGCTCGTGGGGACTTTGAGAGAGTAATGGCGTAAAATGCGGTCCCTTTAACTGATACTTTCAGGATTATGATAATGATGCTGAGAGCATTCTTTGCCGTCTTCATCCTAGCTTCTCATACGACGATCTGGAGGATGGTATGTTTTCACCTTTCCAGAATGTTCGATGCCTGTGCTAGATTGCACTCATTGGACCTATCATTCTTATTCGGGTTCAGTGTGATCTCTGGGTAGAAAATTCCATCGTATACCTGATTTCTCAACCCGTCCGCATGTAGTTTAGTGACTTCAAGGTTGACAAAACCTCTTTTGCATCCACTGCCCTTGCCCCTCTTTATTCTCTCTTCGTTCGTTGTGTCCTTCAGCTTTGAAGGTAGCCCAAGTGGGAATTTATATGCAAAGGCTTCGAGAAAGACAACGACGGAAAGAGATTGCCCGAGAGCACGGACTTATTGCGCCAATCCTTGCTTTTATCCTGAATAAGCGACTCAAAAAGCGAATTCCGTGGAAAAAGCGAGCTGCATCTGCTCATGGTCCAGGCTCACGAAGACGCGGTCGTCCCCCGTCTCCTCGGCGCCACTTGCAGCTGGGTAAATGTACCAGCCAAAAAACCACTCCCATCAAACGGACATCATTCGACAGTTCGAGTCTTCTTTTGGAACCCCAATCGTCATCTCCACCTCCTGGCAGCTGGCTGGCGGCACCATACGTCCTAAAGGCTTCTGGAGCGACTCGCGGTACCCCACTGGTTGCTAGCGGACTGGCTACCAACACGCTACCGTCCAGACTGGCCACTACCCAGTCTCTCCGTCCTAACGCCGTTCGCCCGGGTTCCTTTCTCCCACTAAGAGAGAATTCTTATTTTCCAGAGAACCACACCGTTTTGTAAGTAGTTTTGTGTTCACTTTGTTGTGCTACATGGGGGAGCCCAGGTCAAGAATATTTGCAATTCATTCTGAACCGTATTTTTTGTGCTGTTTTTCACCACTCAATTGCAAATCGTTAACGTACAGTTCATAACCCTACTTCTCACTATCAGCAGGCGCGATGGTTGTGCAGTTTTAGCGTAACATTATCATTTTATTATTATTATTGTTATTATTATTGTATTATTATTATTAATAATATCAATGGTGGCACCATCATAGGAGAACACTGGTACAAGCACTCCAAAATGTGAATATACCTTAATCCTGATCAGCTTGCTTTATAAATGTTGTCCCTTAGAGCTAACAGGAGTGTTAACTAGAGTGTTTAATCTATTTTCAACATTTTCGCGATATGTCTGGGTTATTCATAATCATCTCTATTTTGCTAATTCAATTATTAGACTCAGCGGCCAACTGGTCCCCTTTTCTATATGTGCCTACCTGTTGATGATTTGGGAAAATTGGGCAGGTAGCTGAACGTTGGGGGGTAGCTGGGGAGAAAGCAATGATTAGTGTAGCTGAGTTCCCCGGTACTGAATTTCATACTTCGCTACCAAGTCATTGTTTGACCTCTGGCTCGTTTCCACAATTCACGTGGTTGTGCGAAAAGAGCCAACTGGTATACGGAGCACGTAGTCAAGCCAGCACAACCTGTGTAGTGTGATGAGCTCATCTATCGTGGTCGTGTTATTTTTTTACGTGAACCATTCGATGTGCTTCAGCATTACTAATCCGGTTTTCCCACTAAACTCGGACAATGCTCCGAAGATATTGACGGTCAAACAGGGAAAGACTTGGCTTCTCGACGCGCAGCAGCCAGGTTTCTGTTCCATATATATGGAGCGCACAGCAGCATTGTAATCTCGATCATTGGCGGATAGGCTGAGGTCACGCCACAGTTGATGCAGGTTCACGTAAGCTGCTCTGACCTTCCTAACCCGGATGGAAATGTCATCTTTCGCGAGACCACCTGAACTGATACAGCTGCCCTCTACTACCTCGATCGGCTCATCCGCAGGTATGGGGCTAGGGTTCGAGCCCTTCCGGTCTTACAGCAGCATTTTGAAGATGTGAAGCGCATGCCAAACCGTGGGGTTAGATTTGAAAGGATCTATGTCGTCTGAGTACTCGATATGTGTAAGCGAATGCAATGGGAATACCTTGACCCCATAGGTGTCAAAGGCTGGTAGTGAGTGTCGATAAGGCGGCAAGGTGAAGAGAAAAGGTGAAAGAGGATAGCCTTGCTTGACGCCACTTGGTGTGGTGAACTCAGGTGAGGGCTTCCCGTAGATTTTCACGCGTCCGCGGGAGTTGGCCTACAGCTGCTTAAGGAGGGTCAAGAATTTTGAGGGGACACATTTGCTCCACAGACACAGCCGTAGTGCTTGACGGTCCACAGGGTCAAAGGCAGCTTTCAACTCAAGGAAGACAACCACTGTTAGGCACTGGAAACAGTGTCAGTGTGATCGGAGTATCCTCTTGCAGGGAGGAACCCAGGTTGGTTTTCATGGATCTGTCTTTCCAAGGGTTCGGTCAACCTTCGAAGTATAAGACCAGGGAGCACCCTTGATACCACGGCTACCAGGCCGATGACATAGTGGTTTTCACACAGTGTCCGCATACCCTTTTTGAAAATAGGAATAACTGCCGAAATGCCCTATTCTGCAGGCACTTCCTCTTCACTTCATATCGTACCAATTGGTTTTGTCAGATGGGTCACCAGTGGTTCTCCGCCTTCTTTGAAGAGGGCTATGGCGTTCTCACGTTTCAATACGGATATTTCGTATTTCATTTATCCTCCTGACGGGTGATTAAGGTTTACATTCCATCTGTCCGTATTCACTGTCTCCAGAATGTATGTTGCAGGAGGCCAGCTAAGCTGATCTTCGAAGTGTTTGACACATCTTTTCAGTCGACGTTTTTGCGAGTTAATTAATGAGCCGCGCTTTTAATTTATCGTTTTACTCACCGTTGCTCTCCTAGGGTCAGTCGACCGTACCAGTTGATACAGGGCAATGCTGTTTCCGGTGGGAAAGTCCTTCTCCACATCCCAAGCTTTCAATGTCCGGCAAAGCTCTCAGTCTTTCTTTAGGCTCTTCACTATTTTGCGTTTAATGGATTTGTGTGTGCTGTCATACTTGTTGCCTGCTCGTATGGATTTCCTGGCCTCAATCAGAATTAGTGATACTGACTATGTCCAGTGGTGTTTCGATTGTATCACAGAAGTCGGACAGGCAGCACTGAACGCCGCTAGCATAGCTCCTTTCGTATTTCGTCGTGCTTCGTCAACGTGATCACTACCACCACAGAGAGTTGTTGAGCTAGCTCAGGTCGACATTGTTGAGCCATGCTAATTTTTTTTCAAAGGTGGTGATTGGCATGCTTCCTGCTGACATGTGAGGGCCTGAATAGAAACGAACCATCAAGCATACCCACACCATGGCGTAATCAGAAGCAAATAGTGTGCCCCAAAAGAAACAGCAGTCCTAAACTGTGGCCCTCCACCGGTGTCTGACAGCCGCGTGATCCAGCTGGGTCCACGGTTAATTTGCAGTTGGTGGCTGCCAGATTACGCAACGCGAACATTTATGCTGAAATTTTGTCCTGACCAGAAATAGTTCATGATCGCTGAACAACAACGACAACAACTGCTCTCCGTCATCTGCGCGACGTGCGTCTACTCCGAACCAACTGTCCAGGTGTGATTCCATGGAGCTCGGAGGCCTGACTCGGATATTCATATCATCCGCAAGAATAAGATTTTCAGTGCTGCTTGCTTGACGAGTGAGCCCAGATAACTTTTGATAGAAAGTGTACACCTGGGCGTCAGAACTGTAGTCCGTTAGGGTATAAGTCAACACTGCAAACAACCACTGTTTTTTATGTCGTGAGGCATTGAACCTGATTGGTCTGAGTAGCCGAACAGCGCAAAGATTACTGTTAACTGGGTTCCAATACAGCAAAGCGCGTTCAGCTCTGAGACTGAATGCAACTCTCACGCCATTTATTCCACGATTCATCGCTCCTGTATCACCGGACACACGGAGGTAGGAATGGGGAATAGCTGAGTTCGTCTTTGGCATTTTGAGATGCATAACTTCGGTCGGGTCTTGTATGCATACTTCGGAGATACAGCATATATCAATTTTAAGGGAAAATAAGGTTTTAGCAAGCATTGCCTGTTTTCCAATTTGACATTTAGTACAGACGTTAAAAACTCGCGTGTAGAAAGTATCTCGTCGATCTATCAAGGTATTATTTTGTTCATTGTTAATGGGCGGTGAGAATCACCAAGCACATCGGTCAGATTGGAGTCGAGATGGCTCAGTGGTTACAATGCGAATTTACTGACCGGTATGTCTGTGATGCGAACACGACCTCTGCCTCTCGACTTCCCCTGTCTAAGTTTGGGCAACCTGGCAGTATCTTGTCCCTCACGCTTTCGTTTGGGCGGCTTGGTAGCTAGGCACCGGGGGATGTTACAGCTGAACGATGATCCTTTTTTTATTGGCCAGCTAACTGACAGTCAAAGGGCTTGGAAACGTTTGTGTGGTGAGAAGGGTTTGGGGAGGGACATCGGTGGATACAGACCTGTGAGGGCAAATGATACCTCCTGGTTGCGCAGGTCGAGGAAGGGGGTTGGTTAAGGAACTGTACTTTGATTCTTGGACTCAAAATTCACACGGACTCAAATCAGTCAGGGACCATGCCCTTAGCCTCTGATTCAAAAGTCTGACCTGTGAGACAACGGGCAGTAAGGCTTTATTCGGGGACCCCGTCCGTAGCCTCTTACCCAGAAGTCTGAATCACGAGGACCTGGTTGTTAGGTTTTCTTGGTGGACCCTTCCCGGGGCCGATGACTCAATAGTCTGACCTGTTCGGCTGCAGTTCGTTGGCCCAACACGAAGGCGCAGTGAGTAAGACATTACTGTGGTGCGGTCGCGCACAGCAGGTCCCTTCTGAGCAGCACCGGACTCTTTATTTTTAAAATTATTTCGACCGTATTGAATAACGCACCAGGCGATCGGAGTGTGGATTTTACGGCCGACTTTTTCTAAACCGTCCTTCTTTGGGGAAGGCAACATCTCTACGTCCATGAATGTAGACATGCTGGGGACCAGCGAGAAACACCCTGCAGGCTTCACAGTCTTATCGCAGAGTTCAGTATTACTTCACCCCTAGACTGCCTCGTAGCACAATTATTGGAGTACGAGGTTTCGTTGCTCTTAGTCTGACTGCTCACCTTTGGCTTTGCCGGTACGGTTGCACCTTGTGGAACGAAGTCCCAGCCAGTGTAGCCTTCAGGGTCATTGCAGCACTCAAGCCCGACCACCGCGTCAAGGTGGTAGCCTTAGGTCGGGTCAGTGGTCACCAAGGAAAAACTTATCCCCGCAACATTATCAATAATATCTCTTGTCTGCTAACGGGGATTCATCCTCATCATCATCGAAGACACCAACATCACTGCTGACACCAATGTTTCACTTCCGTAAAATGTAACGAGGATTACGTGAAATCTTACATCATAATTCGCCCAATGTTTATGATTTCACGCTTGCGAAGTTTGTTTAAAACCCCATGTGAACCCTACGATCGTACGGCTAAGGTGACTCACAGGAGTTTAACAGCCCTGTCGGAACCAAGCTAGTCTGAACATGAAGGTCTGATTTCCGGATACATGTTGCAATTTCAGCCCAATTTCGATTGGTTTCCTAATGAGCCTGTCTTTATGCACGCGGACCGGGGCATTCCAAGTACTGTGGTGTGTAGCCCCAACATCATGGGTTGCTGAGAAGTCGCTGTCTGCCGGTGGTTACCTAAAGGTGCCCCTTCTCTCTAGATCGAAAGCCCTGAGTTCTTCCACTTTGTTGAGAGGGTTGTCACAGTACATGATTCAGACTTTAATGTCAGAGGATTTCGTATTTAGTTAGGCCTACCTACCTAAGTTTTCCCCACAGTATTTCGGCTATCGCATCTTATCACCTTGAATTTACAGTCATAGATTGGATGGATTGGATGAATGTGCTCGAGCGCCGGTCATTTTAATGCGAACGTGATAGTTCTTTCAGTTGAAAACTTGTGTACTGCATTCGTACTTCAACGATAATGTACAATCAAATGGTGTGAATTCTCTCATGATTTCAGTTCTTTGAACGAGAAACTAAAGCCGTTCCTTCGCTACTTTACTGGACCGCAAGGCAAACACTTCATGGACAACCTATATCGTAAGACCTTATTGCTTCTATAACCTAACTGTGCATGTTTTTAGGTGAGGAGCTTCTGAAATTTGAAATAAAGTATCTTATGGATTGTCACGCGAAAGGCAAGGTGAAACTAAATAGTACGTTGTCGTGTCCTACATTACTTACACAGTGTTTTCGAAACCTTTCCTGATCACTTACTGAAGTCTAGTTGTTTTTCACTTGTTTTTCGCCTGTCATTAGGGTAACAGATTTTCTCGTTATTTACACGAACGTGGGATTACACGATGGCTCGTCTAATCATCACCTACTTCTTCGCACAATTTACCCACACTCCACCGTTTTCTATATGATCCGATTATTCGAATAACGGGAGTGACTTAGACCATTGCATTACTTACGTTTCCCCGCGTAATTTAGTATTTTACGCAAATCAGCATATCAACCTTTCAGTCCCCTGACCGAGCGTAATGTAGGTCACTAGTTAGGGCATGAACTGCGTGTTGGGTCCTGATTCTAATCCAAACTTGACTTTTCGATTTTCCCTATCTAGCTCGGTAGTGTCTTAGCTTCTATTCTTTCTGCAGGCTACATGGAAATTATGCATGAACGATTTCGTTTGCGGTCTTGACCAGCATTCGGTATGGAAAACTCAGCGAATAGGCATGGAATGTTTCCGTGATTATGAGACTCCGTGTTACTAATCGGAAATAACAAACAGCCAATAGTTACTTCGGTTAGCTGTTTGGTGTTGTGACCACTGCTTTTGTACCCATCCATGACCACGTTTCTAAGTTTCGTGCAACCAGGTGATGGATAACAAAACCAGCCCCGTTTTCTACCCTATGTCTTCTAGGTGACCATCGACCGTTTCATTCAACTGGATTCAGTTAGTCCCTTTCAGACTAGGTTTAATGACTGTCAGCTGCTTTGATTGTGTGCTTTTGCTAGTTCATTTGGATTCCTTCAGATTTTGCTGATGACTTTTCACGGCGAACTGAACACTAGTCAAACACCTGTAGGTTAAACTCCTTCCTCGAATATAGTCCATTTTTACTTTCCAATCTGCCGTCTCTCAAACCATTGTGCACTCTCTTCTTTGTATTACGGGAATCATTCCGTCTCTACATGTTTGTTTGACACTAAACAAGTCCCCCTTTTTATTGCCCCATTGTTTCCTGAAACACGAAAAACCCGGAACGTTTTTTCTCTTCTAGCTCCTGGAAATGCTCCAAGATACTTGGGATCGCGCAAGAAATGCCATTTTTCAGCTCGATTTTGTTTTCTTCCCCTGATTTAGTCTAACCACATGAATCACAAAGGCACATTGACAAGAACCAACTCATTGCACAGAATAATTGCGGATTAAAAATAAGAACCAATTTCCGGAATTTCATAGTTTGACGTTCATAACCAAAGCAGACCAATAAACAGTATGGCGCATCGTTTAAATTACCCAAAATATGCTGTTAACCATATGGCAGCTAGGACCAGTGTGTCATCCGTATATGGCTGATACATGTTGATAATGGCGATGATACTAATATGTAAACGGTTTAACGGTTTAACTCTGTGATGATGGGTTTTAGATTTACCATCACTGGTTAAGTTTACGGGACGATGATAGCAGTAATGTAGAATTCCACCAGCATCATTTTGATCGACAAATGTACACATCGAGACAAGGATGATATACAGCTCATGTTTTATCCCATTATTATCCCACAAACCAAATACCATAGAAACAGGTTAAACCGTCGATAGGATAAATAAGTCCGGCTCACTAACGCCGAAATGAACAAGAAAGGCCTTGGCTTACGTGTGATGAGTCCTCCCAATAGCACAGCAAGCACTAATGATTGGCGTGCAAATTATCGGTTGGATGAACAAAGTGGCAGTGTGGCAAGTTGCATTTCTCTGTATTACGCGCTGGCCAAACAGTCAGCTGGACTATAAGCCCACGCCTCACATCAAGCCGTGCTTAGTATGTCACCGTGTACTGCAATTTCTTTCCACTTGGCCAGCTGTTTGTTGCTCAAATCGCCCTCATCCATTGATTGTTCGGTACATTGTTTTGATGCGACGATAAACAAGGAATATTTGCAACTTTTCTAAGCCTCCCCATTGGTTGTTGCGCTACTCGAAAGTTGACCGGTAATTTTCACTGATGATCCAAACAAGATGAAACGCTCCGTCCATACCCCGTCCTGATCATTTCTTTCAGCCTGGATAATTAGTGGACACTAGAGAGAAAATTAGCAAAGGCAAGTACCAGGCGACCCAAAAGATAGTGGGATAGGACCAACAATCAATATTCTGTAAATGTCTCCTAGTGACCTTTGTACCATTGGAATTTCCTTCCCCTCCCACCAGATGAAAGCCATTGTTCTGGTCCTTCATGGAAGGCCCCCTTTCCAGACGAACCTGATAGTAAGGCACCGTCTGAATGGTGTTTCTCGTAAAGATGGAGGGTTGTATTAGACATATAGGAACGCTGAAAAATTCCCCCATTGTTGCAACGTTCCGTAAAAGATTTTTCTCTGTATTCCTCTCAAGCCTCTTGACTTTGAGTCAAGTGAGCTGTCTAATTTAGTTGTGATAGCACTTTGTTTTCACTACAGGTGTTTACTTGAAGATGCCCATCTTCAGGAGCTTTGTGTACACAACGCTTCCAAAACCTATTCTTCCTGTAACTCCGCACACTCAGCGTGCGACCAACGTCTTCGGGCGACCGAGAAAAAGACGTCGCAACGTAACCACCCCATGGTATGTTAAAGTTCAGCGCAGAGTGAAACACGCGAAGTAGCAGATGAATCCACACACTGCCTTCATTTACCATTCTATATGTCTCATAGTCATCCATTTGGGAGTAATTTTTATTGAGAATTTTCCTCCAATTGAGATAACTTCCTCAATGGACTTATAAACTTCCTCATTTCACAGTCCGCCTACCAGCAATCTCTTCCCTTTCTACACCATTCTACACAGATTATTCCGTTTTTATTCGTAATTTTTTTAAATAGACTCAAGTATTACCATCCATGCCTTTGTTCTTTCTCTCGTGTTGAACCACTGAATACGTTCTGCTTGGTCAACCCAACAGTGCGCAGACCCTTGCCTCATATCTGCCATGTGCCACAGATACCCGTTTGTTTTTACCCAATTCTGTGGGATCTGACAGTCTGGATGTTGTGAAACAGGTGTGCATGCAAGTGTTGACGCTGACTGACTATCTGGCTCTCTTCGGTTGGATTTTTCAGAATAATCTGGATCGTTTTGAATCAAAGTTCTCGCTCCTGGAGATTGAAATGGCCTTGATCACATTGTGGTTGGAAAGTTACGCCGAATAAATATTTGTTCGTTTCGGGACCAGTGAAACGGGATGAACCAGAAGCCCCAAATCACATTCAACCACGGGAGATAATGCAACAATATGTTCGATTTTGTTTGCAATATTACGGGGCACATAATGCAATCATAAAATTATGCATTTATAATACGTTTTAAAAAGTATGACAGGAAAATCAGCATGAGGTTTAAGTTTCATCCCGTTACGTATGATATATATAAACGAGTCTGTTATATATACGAATCTGGTCAATACACTTAGCACATCAAAGGAACAACATGGGAAAGCGGCTACTCGGTGTCTTTTGGGTGTTTTTAATAAGAAGGGTAGACTAACAGGGACGCTGTTTTAGAGTACTATTTCTTGAGGAGATTACAGAATCTGATACGACCATAAATATGTTGGTGACTGGTAATGATGGTGCACAGGATGTACTGCTTCTGTAGGTATTTGATGAAGTTAGCAAAAGTAATCTCCGAAACCGTCCATTCCTCAACTAAGAGCACGGGTTTGCGAGGATTTCGCTTGAAACCGATATATTTTGAGGAACCACCCACCCCAACCCTGTTTAGGACCACTCTATGTGTATCCGGGATCGAAGTTCCAAAGAATACCAGGTTGCGCTGGTTTTTGTTGTACCGTGCTTCTTTCTAGAGCGACTGTTCCCTATGTACTACGAAACCGGAAGCTCTGGGAGGAAGACCCCGTTATTTCTATCCATTTTTCAACTGTTATGACTACCTTTATCTTTTCTACAAAGGGACAAGTATACCTTCGTAGCTATTGTACTGGATAGTAGTTTTCGTTAGACATCCATGTGAAAGCTTCTGCTTTGAGAATGCAAGTCGTGCTGTTTTGATAATTCCTTATTCTAACTGGTAGATGAAATGTCAGATGGCGTTAAGGTCGATTTCATCGGTATTTTCTGCTCCAAAACATTACTGCTGTCAACTTCACACACTGCGGATTTTTCTACCTTTAACCCGACCGCAAGCCAAGCCAAACTATCGTTGTAAAATTACAAATGACGCCCAAATTTAAAGTTAATTTTATTACTCATGTCCACATGGATTTACCGAAGGTGTCATGAAAGTAAATGACAAACACCGGTGGGGTCAAGTGAGCTTGGAATTTAGGTATCAAGTACGTGGCTGAGTAACTGCTTACGGTCAACTTTGTTTTCGCAGGTTAGAAGACGTGAAAAGACCTACTAAGTTTGGTCGCCTCTGGACTGGTCCTACTTCCGGATAAAACAGTAATAACGAACCCACTCCACCGAAGAAACCACCTTTAGTTAGCTTCTTCAAGGCTTAATTGCTCCAGTCTATAGCCTACCTCAAGCGACCGACTAGAATTAGTCCCTTCTGGGAAGAATATTTTAAATGGTCTTTCGCGAATACTTGTCTCTTATTAGGATAATATATCCCGAGTGTAACAAGTATTTCTTCAACGATCAAATTCACCACAGGAGGGACCAACTTCCGGTGATATCTTCATGTGGTCTTCCGATAGGATTTTTTCAGGGGAGTCGAAAACGGGTCTGAAGGGTTGTTTTGTTGACTAATCAGGCGCCAGTGTATTGTCAAGAGCTGTTAACTTGGGAAATCAGTTTGACCATGAGAAGGAGTCTCGACCGCAACCATCGTGTGTGAACACAACAGTAATTTTGTCACGCTTCAATGCTAGGTCACCGCCTTCCACAGCCTAAGGTCAACACAATGCAGGTCTCCACTTTGAAATACCGCTTAAATTTGCTGCACTAGGTTACGGGCCTCGTTGCGCGGTGCTAAAAAGGAATTCGATTTGTAACAAGTGTTTTAGTGGACTAGATAGTGCCAGTTTCAGCGTAAAGTCATTCCGCAAACAGTTTCTCCCGCAATATCCAAAGTTTGAATGGGTACCGTAGAGGTATAAGACACTGCTATCCTCCTTGAATAACCGAACTCAAAAGTGAACATGAATCTTGGAAGCCAAGTCACGCAATGATGCATTAATTGTGATCACCTGCCTTGCTTGCGTTTGTACTTAATGCCGCCAGTGCAATTTGTGAACCCTCTGGTTACATAGACTTTCTTGAGCGGAATTACCTTGACTCATGTTTTATCTCGTGAAGCTGATGACCAGCGACTTGAAATGTTAGAAGCTGACTTGTTAATTCGGCTGCATGAACAGTTCCGAGGAAGTCCTGAAGGACCTTTCGGTCTTCCTTATTTTGACGAAGATCTAGATTGCTCGATCTGAAGTTGACAGCTGGTCTGCTCATGCTACAGTTTTGCATCTTCCTATCCAATAGTCATTCGTTTTAAAGGGACCGCCCGACAAACGTTGTCACTGCTTTGCCTCTTCCTTAGGGTGACGCCTCACAGACACCCTTCCTGATATTATAAAGTTTTTGCCGGAACTTCGAAAACTTCTGTCATGCTGAAAGATAAGCCAGAGACCTCAAGTAACCAATACCATCACGTACTTGGTTGGTCCAAGTTTAAGTTTTCCTTTATCTCATATCGCCCAGGTGATCCTGTGGCACGCATGTAAATTGATGCCGTGAATGAAATCATGAATCAGCAGAATATCCGAAACTTCTGGATGTCCGAAAGACTACTAGTCAGAAACCCATGTAACTTTTCTGAGTTGATCTCCAATTGCATGAACTCAGGCCAAGAATGTTCATCCAGGTTCAATTAGGTATATATGAAGAACCGTCCGTTTACTATATTGACTGATACACATGACCTTGACTCATTGAGTACTAATAAGGTCAAACAGTTCACGCCAAGAGGACGTCTGGTTCTGGTTGACCCAGAGGGGTTTCATTTTCACCATCAATCAATCAATCACTTCATTAGCTACCATAAGCATCCTTGTTCCAGCTCCTACCGTTTCGACCACCGGAGTGGGAGGGTGTGGAACGTAGCCAGGTCTCGGAAGCAGTGATATTCATTTAGTTTTGGGAACTGGATAGTTACGCGCTAAAGGTCGTAGCTTTAATGCACGAATACCACTGACTGCGTGATTTGGCCATTTCTGCCAGTGTCAGTAATCATTGATGAGTTGAGTCACCGGGTCCCCATCCAAGGAGACGACATTCGTCGACCCAACTAGCTTTGCTAGTTAGTGGTTCCATAATTCGTTGCCAAGTCGTACACGGTCCATCTCTCGACCGCTTCTACACAGCACAGGGCCGGGTGAAAACAGCTCTGCGAGGCAAATGGCCTTCTGGCATGTGGAGTACGTGTCCTAACCAGCTTAACCCATGGAGCATGAATAATTCACCTATCACTGGAAAGTTTCTTCTTCCTAAGGCCATCTGGTGTACCTCAGAATCGCTAATACGATGTTTCTGCTGCATCCGACCAATGCGTCGGAGACACCCATGTTCAAACACTGACATTTTTCGTGTGTCCTCTGCGCGTAAGGCCGTGTCGATCGCACTATCACACTGTAAGCTCTGTCCTTGACAGACGGATTGACGTTATGTTGGCACCATTGGTATCGGAATTTGGCAAAAGCTGTTCTAGCCTTCCCGATTCGAGAAGTAAACTTATCTCCAGCCAGTCCGCCGGAACCTATATAACTGCCCATGTAAGCAAATCGATCTACCACGTCGAGTGGCTCGTCTGCAAACATGAGGTTTGAGTTTGGTCCAACCCAGTCTTGTAGCAGCAGTTCGCAGGTTTGAATGGCATGCCAGACCGTAGAGCAAGTTAATTAGGCTATTTAGTACTTTTCTATTTGAAGTGTCCCAACCAAGGACAGTAATACCGTCCGCATACTCACTGTCTGTGAGGGAACGTCCCGGGAGCATTCCGACCTCCGAAGTTTCAGAGGCGGGCATAGAAATTTCAAGCAGTACATCAATAACAAAGCTGAAGCCGAAAGGGGCAGTCTTGTCTTACACCACAGTACGTGGTGAACTCAGGCGAAAGCGTATTGTGTACTCGTACGCACCCACAGATCGCATACAGAGCCCTCATAAGGGATAGAAATTTGGAAGGGGCACCTCTGATAGGTAGACACCACCAATAATTCTAACGATCGACAGAGTCAAAAGCAGGTTTCAGATAAACAAAAACGACCAAAGTGGCGTTTGAACGAGTGGCGCTGTTCAAGGATTTGTTTCAAGCTAAAGATATGGTCGATGCATCCTCGGTCAGGGCGGAACCCAGCTTGGTTCTCACGAACCTGTCTCTCTCGACAATAGACCAACCTGCGCAAAATAATGCTAGAGAGTACCCTTGGTGCGACGGATACCAGGCTGATGCCACGATGATTTTCGCGTGAGGTTTTGGTGCCCTTTTCGAAGACTGAGATGACATTCGGGGAGGTCCATTCAACTGGTATTCTCTTTACGTTCCAACGACAGTCTGATCCAACACTACCTGTCGGCTATCTCAAACAGCTGCGGTGTCCTCGTGGACCACTACTAATCACAATCGATTCTTTGGTCAAACAAGGCACCACGAATCTGAACGATTGATAAAAGCAGTCTGCCTGTTAGTTGATGTGCTTGTCAGCTTGGAAAACTTATGCGCACCCACTACATTCCCCTGATGAAGTGGAGATGAAGATTTTCCGTATACTGAAGGTCGATTCAGAATCTGCCACAAAGTTGTGCTCCTACAGAACTTAACCGTCCAAATTAGGCATTCAGGTCACTAGCAGGGGTTACTTTATCCGTCTTTCTTGATGACCGGAGCAGCTATGACAGATGTTGACTAAAACCCGCCATTTGCAGTCTCAGAGCTGCAGTCTGTCGGAGCGACAAATTAACACCGTCTACCGCATCAAACTGGATTGGTCTTCATTAGGTAAGACAACTGCACAGAGCAAATACGAGTGTTCACTGGCATTCAGTCCAATAAGGCGCTTTCAACTTTGGAGATGGGTGCAAATCACGTGCCGTGGAATCAGAACTATTCCACTTGTGCCATTTTAGAACTGGCCTTTATATAAAGGCCAGTGCAAAGCCGAACAACTGAACATCGCCGTATTATGAATATGAAACAACTGTTATGCTCACTGACAGTGCAGCCAGGATCGGAGATCAGAGCAATAGCCACCTGATCAACTACTGGTCTCTACAGCACTGAGCACTGATACTGTGAGCATTAAATTTCCATTTCTGTAGTCTGTCCCATGACAACTGACAAGGATTTTAGTGAATACAAAGTGCACTCCGTAGGCCATAAAGTTTCGACAGGCTTTTTGGTCCTATCAGAAGTGAACGTAACTGCAGCAGTCGAAACCAGCAATGCATCGGTACATGGTTTGTAGCTTGCAAACTGAAGCGTTGTCACTGGAGATTGAATTTTCCGTGTATCCTGAACGAGAAATGTCATGGTCGTTCAGACAGATAAAATGGGACGCATGCATCCCTGGGGTGCTGTTTTAACCTAAATCACGAATTGTTTTCCACATTACAATACCTGCCCCCTCTGCATTACTTTTGGTAGAATAGGAGAGGTAACCATAGTTAAGAGCATCTACACTGAAATTGTCTACTTATTGTCGTACATGCTTATACGGTTGCATATAACAGTATCTTGTTAAAAGAACGGTCTTTTACTTGGTGGGTTGTTGTATCCCATCATAAGCGTATTACTTTTGACTAAACATTCCAATTATCACACCTGTCCGCTGCTGATTTGCCAGATTTTTGTATTCCTTATCTACGGACCCATAAAATTTTCGCGGTATTTGCATGTGATGAGCGAGAGTTTTCTACTCTAGTGGTTGTCCACCCTTTATGGAAACTTCGTACTCTTCCCATCTCTTATTTCGAAGGAAACTTACTGTCGCGAAAATGAGGCAGTGAACTTCGTTCTTGGCCAGAGTTTCTGGAAATCCTTCTCTGATTCAATTGGTTCTTTATATTTTAGCCACCCTTGCGTATTTATCTGGGGCGTATGCTTTTTTGTAGATTACTGCATGGTATGGCCTCAGTCAGTCATTTTTCTAAGCCTACGATTGGAACACACAACGGTAAATTTCACGCAGATGAACTGGTCGCCTGTGCTATGCTAAGACAACTACCGGAATACAGTAAAGCCGAAATCGTTCGCACACGAGATGCATCGCAACTGGCCACATGCACGATTGTGGTGGACGTAGGTGGTCTGTTCGATCCCAATACACTTCGATTTGATCATCATCAACGGTACGTATTTTTTTAGTTTCCAGTGACCCATACTCAACTATCCAGTGGTTTTGATCTGACTTTCAAAGATTTCTTCAAAGAATCCACTTGGGACATCAAGCTCAGTAGCGCCGGCTTGATTTACGTTCACTATGGACATCGGGTGATAGCTGGCGTGGCTGATGTGCAAGAGTCAGATCCCATGGTGCCAGTCCTCTTTCAGAAGGTACCTTCTTCCCTCTTTCATAACCCGTCTCGTTTAGATCTATAGTGCATTCGTGGCAGAAATCGATGCAATCGATAATGGTGTAGCGATCAGCGATAACGAGACAAAGTAAGAGTACTCTTCGAGTCGAACGCTATTAGGTACTCGATAAACACTGGTTTGAGCAGTCGTGTTGCTCGACTCAATCCGAAATGGAACGATCCGGATGCGGATGAAACTGTGAGCATTTTTCTCCATAGTCTTTGTTATCTCTGAAGTGATAGAAAACGAAGATCAGGGTATATCTGAACAGTTCTTCTTGTTTCAAGTTTGCGATGCTAGTTGGTATCTTGCTATGTATCTCTTCGAGGATTTGGATGTATGAAAACCCATAGTATAGATTCTACCTAATAATGGAGGCCCGAGAACCTCAAGTAGTGGTCAATTTCGTGGACCCCTCACTGCGTTGCATAGATTTTTCGTTAGTTTCCTTGAAATCAGAAATCCGAAGTTCAATTCAGAGCACTCACTTTTCCCGAAACACTCAACAATGATGGGGAAATTCAACAATTAGTAATGTTTGAACTATTCGTAGCTTGTTATAAGCTTCAAGCGGGAAATAAGATCGATAAGAATTCATGGACCATCCTCAGATGGCGAACTTCAAGATGGGCGGAACAGGTAGTGGATTACCAACCCTATAGACAATACCATATTGAGAAAAGATGCTTCATCTTGTTTGCAATAGGATATTCTTACTGAATTTCAACTACATGTTTCCATGATTCGGTAGGACATCGATTTCCAGAGAGTGTATTGCTTGATGATTTTATGAATTTGTACTCATACATAAACTCGTCCACAACCGAATTTGTGTTGATCACGGAATATTTACAGCAAATCAGAACTGGGTGTGGTTTGATTTTGGAAAGTTCGGGGTAACACTTGAATCGCATAGGCTAAACAAAAGAGTCAGTTTGGTTCACGCTGTACTTGTACTCAAGTGTAGCTAGTCACCACATTGCGCTCCGGCAAGCGATGGGAGACGTTAAACGAATGTGCATGTGGACTACCTCGCTTTTTGTATCTGATGACTTCCACTCAAGCCGAAACACTTTAGTACTTATCCTCTCCTGTGTCCCCGGTTACTGTCTTCACTTCCAAGTACTTGGGCGTGGTCCTCCAAGCAGACCGCGAAAGGTTGGTATTGACACTGAAGCGGTGTCCACTACTCAAATTTCCCGGCAAATCTCTTCACATAGGCTAAGCCAGAAAGTCATCTCGATGTATCTTGTTGTTGTTGACTCCTATGAAGGGTGATGTAAGCTGCTTGGGAATGGAATATCACGTAATGCCGTATTCTATCTAATGGTCCTTCTTGTACAGACTAAATCTTTTGTGCAACTGTATCCATAGGTCGCAGTCACCAGTATTGAGTTGTTTGTCATTCCTGATTACTATCAACTCTCTAATGTGACAGATTTCATTTTGTTTTTATAGTTTGTAAAGTGCCGTCACTGTACATGAAAGATTATTGAACACTTAAGCATCCACTGCTCCTCGCTCGTGGATCAGTGCGTAATCAATACTAACTTTCTTTCAGTTGTATGCTCTCATCTTGCACCCCTTTCTAGGCCTGTTTCATGAAGGCCTTGAAAATGGTAGAAGAGGAGTTCGTTACGCTTGTAGTACACTATGCCAAATCATGGTACCCGGCGCGCGCCCTTGTCTCCAAGGCTTTGAGTCAGCGTCATCAAGTGGATCCATCAGGACATATAATTAGCCTTGAAGATGAACCCTGCCCTTGGACTGATCACTTTCATGAATTGGAGAAGCTTGAGCTAGAAAAACTACCCAATGGGCATTTCGACGCTTCCGATTTGAGTGCAACTGCATCCAGACCAGTGTTCTGTCTCTATCGCCGTGACGATGGTCAGTGGTCTGTTCAGGCAATCTCTACTTCCGAGAAGGAGCACTTCAAAAGTCGTGTTCCACTTCCAGAAGCTTGGCGTGGTCTACGAGATGAAGAGCTCAGTGGTGTTGTCGGTTTACCGGGATGCGTGTTTGTGCATGCCACTGGATTCTTGGGGATTCATAAAACTCGCGACGGTGCTTTATACATGGCTCGGACTTCATTAAAACTTGCGAACCTCATCGAAGCTTGATGCAGCTTGACTCCTTTTGGCTGGCATGTACTTCTGTTGGTTTTTGCTTGAATGCAGGGATAAATGTATTTTCATAGCTTTTTCGTTTGTGTTACTACCCGGCCACCAAAACTTCAATCTGCGAACAGGCAAAACCTTTACTTGTTCATTGTATTACACTGTGTTAATACACCTAGTTGGTCAGCCGTACAGCTGACATGGTATCACTGAACGGCATATGAATTGAAACTCAGTTTGTCGCTCGTTGGCTAAATAACTTATTTATTTGATTCGGTTATTCACTGAACTCATCGTATTCTTCTTTGTCTTCATCATCACTTGTTTGCTCAAGTGCGCATTGCAAGTCCTCACGCGTACCCATACTTCTGCTCACCTCCTCGAGCCGAGTCTCGTTGGTGGCTCTGAAAGAAACGGACACAAACTTGGTCACTTCTTTGCAACCGGTTTTGTGTGCACTGCTTACCGATAGTCAGTCATTTTCTTGCAATATAGACTAGCATTCGGTCAATGAGAGATAAGTAGTCGGAACCGTAGATCTTTTCGCGTTGGGTTCTTTTTACGAAATTGCTTACCTTATAAGGCATAATACTTGCCGTGTTCACTAGTGCCCACTGGTGTTCATTGAAAACGACCGTCTTCAATGATCATCATCATCGACAGCATGACATCAGTGACCAACACTGATGCTTCACTGCCGTACAACAATGAAGCGAATTACAATTCAAAGAGATACAAAGTCGTCTACATATTAAGCTATTTGTTATTATTATGCAGTTGTGAGAACAGTATACACAATGACATCAGCAAGACATTCATGTAATTCTTATGAGTTCACCAAAATTGCCCGAATGAAATGTCAATTTATCCGTAACTGCGCAAACAGCAGCTCTACTTAAGAAATGAGCACGATTACACAGTCTTGTTGACACACGCAGTCACTTTCCTGAGTAATAGGGTATGTGGTTTTACATATGCACTCGAACGTCTCGCGCGATGACTTAAGTAGTAAAGACGCGCACACCATCCTACCTAGGTCTATATCAGACCGAATGTTCCCACCAAGGTTGATTAGCAAGTGAATAGTTTTGAGCAACATTAGCCCATCACTTTTAGATGACAATCTCCTTTCACTTATAATACCCGCCTTTAGGCTTCCGCTTTTTCTTCAAAATACCAAACAGTGATCATAAGTCTCGTTATTTTCAAAACCCTAGACATAACACCCTTCACTCGTGTATCCAGACTTCACTACTTTGCTAGTTTGTACCCACACATCTATCGGTTGATTAGGAATTCGGGCAACTTTAGGGAATCAGCAACGGTCTGGTAGCGTAACGTACACATCAACGTTAAAAATCTGCAAAAAGTGATAATATGTCAGATTGGACAGTCTTAACTATTAAAGCATTCATAGATGTCCAAATGGTGCGCCCCATTCCAACCCCCAAAACATGGTAACCACAACATCCAGCTTATCCACGAGACATTGCCCATCCTCAACTCATTCAGAGAACATTCGAATAATTCTCTCTGACTATACTGGATATTATCTGAATGTAGTGAGAAGAAGTGAAGACATGCACGCATTTTCGGTCGTGTACTACTGACACATTATTATCATTGATTGTTGTTCCCTGGAGACAAAAAAGTCGTGAGTAGTTGCTCAACTGTCTCGTTCAATGAGAGTTACTCTCTTCCAAAAGTAGTTACGCTGACCATTTCAACCCATTATCGAATGAGACACTGAACGTAGCAACGCCCAGAGTTGGATACTTAGACTCCTCGATGAACCGCCAAACCGTTTTCTTATTCACACGTAACACCAAGCTATACTTTTTTTTATCAGACCCTTTTATATGGTCGGCTGAAAGTGTACACTGTTTGCGTTGACATTATACATCGAAGAATATTACTACCCATTCCCCATTAGTAAAAGTGGAATGTAGATAGAAAAGAACAAATCCAGTCTTTCTGCCTAACCCGTGATAGGTGTAGTACCCCAATGTGCATATTGTAATGCAAGTTAAAGGCAGGTGAAGCTAGTGTGCATGTATAAGTTCACAGAGCTGACAAGTACTTGAACTAACAGACACTGCTTTTTTCAATGGTTCAGATTCGTGGTGCCTTGTTTGACCTAAGAATCAAGTGTGACTAATGTCGATTAGTAGTGGTCCACGAGGACACCGCAGCTGTTTGAGATAGCCGACAGGTAGTGTTGGATCAGACTGTCGTTGGAACGTAAAGAGAATACCAGTTGAATGGACCTCCCCGAATGTCATCTCAGTCTTCGAAAAGGGCACCAAAACCTCACGCGAAAATCATCGTGGCATCAGCCTGGTATCCGTCGCACCAAGGGTACTCTCTAGCATTATTTTGCGCAGGTTGGTCTATTGTCGAGAGAGACAGGTTCGTGAGAACCAAGCTGGGTTCCGCCCTGACCGAGGATGCGTCGACCATATCTTTAGCTTGGAACAAATCCTTGAACAGCGCCACTCGTTCAAACGCCACTTTGGTCGTTTTTGTTTATCTGAAACCTGCTTTTGACTGTCGATCGTTGGAATTTTTGGTGGTGTCTACCTATCAGAGATGCCCCTTCCAAATTTCTATCCGTTATAAGGGTTCTCTATGCGATCTGTGGGTGCTCACGAGTATATGGCAAGCTTCAGTGCTTAGCTACCCAGTTCCCAAACTGGGTGAACATCCAATAGCCTCCACACCTTCCCACTTTCCGGTGATCATAACCGAACCATTGTGCAATTGATGCATGGTTTATAGCCCATGAATTCATGGACGGATTGATTGATGGGTACTTTCCGTCATCTCTGGTAAACCAGGCCCAGCTTATCCAGAGCCAATTGATGAGAGTGCATGACGGTTGTGCTGTTTATTACCGCGGGATCCAACACCGCCTATTTGTACACCACACAGTTGTGATGCGCGTCCAGTAGACTAGAATATTGTAAAAATCCCATGCTAATAGAATCCAGCACGCAGAGGAGTTGCGAACTTAAGCGAATTGTAGGACTAAAAGTGGCTTTATTCTTACGAGGACTAGTACTAAAGACTGGGTTATCACAGGCAAAAGTAGCGTGTTAGGCATTGCCCAGGGCACTCTAAAACCTGTAATATTGAGCAGCTTCATGTTTTGTGTCAGAGTGGACCAACAGCCTGTTCTCACCAGCAAATCGGCACACCTTATTGACATATCAGGTTGGTCTGTCATTTGTGCTGTATAAAACCTTGTCCGTACTCCGTCTATCGAATGTTGGCCCCACAGTAGATTGGATGGGATGT